CAGGAATGAAGAAGGAGAAATTACAACTGATACCACAGAAATACAAAATATTATCTATGAATACTATAAAAACCTCTATGTACATTAACTTGAAAACGTGGAGGAAATGGACAAATTCTTGGAATCACAAAGCCTCCCTAGGCTGAATCAGAAGAAATAGGTTTCCTGAACAGACCAATATTAAGCACTGAATTTGAAACAGCAATAAAATACTTTCCTAAAAAGAAAAGTCCCAGAGCAGATGGTTTCACATCCAATTGTTACCAGACGTACAAAGGAGAACTGGTTTCTCGCCTTCAGAAATTATTCCACAACATTGAGAAGGAAGACATTTTCCCCAAAAAAGTTTTATGAAGCCAACATCACCCCAATTCCAAAACCATGAAAGAAGTCAACAACAACAACAGAAAAAGAAAACTACAGGTCAATATTGCTTATGGACATAGTCGCAAAAATTCTCAAAAGAATCCTAGCAAACAAAAATCAGGTGGTTATCAAAAAAAAAAAAAAAAAAAGAAATTAATTGGCCAAAAAATATATATATAAAAAAAAAAAAAAAAATCCATCATGACCAAGTGGCATCTTTCCAGAGATGCAGGATTGGTTCAATATATGCAAATCTATAAATGTAATTCAACACATAAAATTGAAGTAAAAATAAAGACCTTATGATTCTCTGAATAGATGCAGAAAAAGTATCTGACAAAATTCAGCAACGTTTTATAATAAGAACACTTAATAAAATAGGCATAGATGGGACTTACCTAAAAATGATACGAGCCATATATGACAAACACACAACTAACGTCATACTGAACAGGGAAAAATTGAAAGCATTTGCACTTAGAACTAGAATGAGACAAGGTTGTCTTCTATCAACGATTCTGTTCAACATAGTGCTGGAAGTCATAGCCAGTGCAATCACACAAGAGAAGGAAATCAAGGGTATCCAAATGGGGGCAGAAGTGTTCTAACTATTGCTCCTTGCTGATATGATCTTATATCTAGAAAAACACCAAAGATTCTGCCATGAAGAATATTTTATATTACTGGCTCGTTGGTGGTGGCTTTCCCTCTATTTGAATAAAGCAGACTGATCAACCAAAAGATCAAAGGGGACAATTAACTTCCCTTCCTCTGCATGTTATCTCAATATATTGCAGGAAATAAGATCAAGAATGCAACCATACAAAGAGAAGAATTATTTTTTCTAGATCTGTGAAGAATGGTGGTGGTACTTTGAAGAGGATTGCATTAATTCTGTAGATGACTTTAGGTAATACTGACATTTTAACAATATTGATTCTACCAATACACAGACAAAGTAGATTTTTCCATCTGTTTACATCTTATACAATTTATTTTTTAAGGGTTTCATAGTTCTCCTTGTATAAGTCTTTCGTACCTTTCATTATATATATATATTCCTAGATATTTAATTTTCTTTGGGACTATAGTATAAGGAATTGTGTTTTTGATTTGAGCTTTGGCTTGACAGTTCTTGGCATATATGAATGTCTCTGATTTGTGTGTATGGATTTTGTAACCTGAGACTTTACCAAATTCATTTATCAAATCTAGGAGTCTCTTGGAGGAATCCATGGGGTTTTGTAGGTATAATATCATCTCATTGGGGAAGAGTGAGAATTTGTTATCATCTGCACCCACTTGGATGCCCTTAATATCCATCTCTTCCATAATTGCTATAGCTAGGACTTTGAGCACTATGGTGAATAGAAGGGGAGACAGTGGGCATCCTTGTCTAGTTCTGGTTTGAGTGGGAATGGTTTCAATTTTTCCCCATTCAGTATGATACTCACTGTGTGTTTGTCAGATATGGATTTGATAATTTTAAGGTAAAAGCCACCTATGCCTATTTTGTTAAGAGTTTTTATCATAAAGATGTGTTGGATTTTGTGAAATGCTTTTTCTGCATCTATTGAAAGAATCATATGGTCTTTGTTCTTGTTTTTATTTATGAGATGACTGACTTCAAGCTGTACTAAAAAGCAATAATAATTAAATCAGCCTGGTAATGACACAATAACAAAAGCATTGATATTTAGAATAGGTCTGAGATTCCAGAGATGACACCATCTGCATATGGTAACTTAATCTTTGATAAAGCAGACAAAAATATACATTGGTAAAAAGAATCTATCTTCAATAAATAGTGCTGGCAAAATTGGTTATCTACATGCAGAAGAATGAATCAGGATCCCTACCTCTCACCTCTCAAAAAACTCCACTCAAGATGTATAACAGACTTAAACCTAAGGAATGAAACCCTAAGAATCCTAGAAGAAGATGTTGAGAAAACTCTTTCTGACATTGGCCTAGGCAAAGAATTATTGAAGAAAACCCCCCAAAGCAATCACTGTGGCAACACAAATAATCAAATGGGATCTGATCAAATTAGAAAGCTTCTGCTCGGCCAAAGAAACTATCATTAGAGCGAATAGACAACCTACAGAATGAGAGAAAATATTTGCTCTCTAAACTTCTGATAAAAGTTGAATAACAAGAATCTATCTAGAACTCAAAATAATTAACAAGAAAAAATCAAACAACTCCATCAAGAAATAGGCAACGGAAATGAACAGAAACTTTTCCAAAGAAGACAGAATAATGGCCTGCAATCGTATAAAAAAATGCTCAGCATCTCTAATCATTAGAGAAATGCAAATCAAAACCACAATGATTTATCACCTAACCCCAGTGACACTGGCCTCTATCAAAAAACCCCAAAACAACAAATGCTAGCGAGGATGTGGAGAGACAGAAACACTCTTACACTGCTGGTGGGACTGAAAATTAGTGCAACCTTTGTAGAAAAGAATTTGGAAATACCTCAAACAGCTAAAAATAGAAATACCATTCTATCCAGCAATAGCACTATTAGACATTTACCCAAAAAGAGCATAAGACATTCTATAATAAAGACATCTGCACCTGAATGTTTATGGCAGCACAATTCACTATTGCAAGGATGTGGAAACAACCCAAGTGCCTGTCAATTCATGACTGGATTATTAAAATTTGGTATATGTTTACAATGGAATATTACTCAATTCTAAGAAAAGACAGTGAGCTCACACCGCTTATATTATCCTGAATTGAGCCTAAGCCCATTATCCAAAGTGAGGTGACACAAGATCAGAAAAATGGGTTCCACATATACTCGCCATCAAATTGGTACTGACTGATTATCAGTATGGTGCTCTAAGGGTGGTGGTGTTCACCAAAGATTCAGGGGTGAGGGGTAGACACACATCTGAGGGATATGGCTAACAGTGTGGAGGGGGGGCATACCTCTAACTCTTGCTAGGTAAAGGCGAAGTTATAACATCTAACAAAAATGTTAAAAAAAAAAAAACAAACATTTATCCGGTGTCAGGTTGGTTGGAGGGGGTAGGAGCGGATGGGTGTATGTGTATATATATATATACACACGCACACACACACACACACACACACACACACACATTATAAGTGGGATGTGCATTGTCAAGGGGATGGACATGCTTGAAGTTCTGAATTGAGGAGGGGAGGGAAGGCAAGAGCAATGCATGTAACCTTAACATTTGTACCCCTATATTATGCTGAAGTAATAATTTAAAAATGCAACCAAATCTGGTCTAAATTATTTTAAACACAATACCTGTCTCCTAAGTTACTTTATAAGTCAATCTGTTTCTCCCATCCATTTGTCCTCCCTAACACCATTTGTTCCCCCTATACAGGATTACCTGCACACCTCATTTTCCCTCCCCTCCAGAAAGACAAGTATAAAAATATCTGTATTTCACTGATATGTTGAGTAGCCACTCTGCAATTCTCCCCATGTGTATGGTAAATATATCTTTCTCTTATTATTCTGCCTTAATCATAAGTTGATCTTTCAGTGAAATTTCTGGGCATTTTTCCCCTACCCCTGCAATATATTAAACTCCACAATCAAACAACATAGATTGAATTGATGAAAAAACAAGATCCAACTATAGGTATTCAGTTTTAATTTAAGGACACAAATAGGCTGAAAGTTAAGGTATGGAAAAAGAAATACTATCAAATGGTAAAGAAAGGAGAGAAGAGGTAGCTATTCTTATATCAGACAAAAGACATTAAGTCAAATTTGCCCACAAGAGACAAAGAATGACATTAGACAATGATTAAAGAGTCAAATTACCAGAAAAATATAACACATTTATATGCAGCCAACATCAGAGTACCTAAACATATAAAGCAAGCATTGACGTAATTGAAGGGAGATACATAGAACAATAAAAGAAGATTTTAATATCCCACTTCCAATAGTGCATAGAATATCCAAACGGAAAATCAATAAAGAACCAGCAGACTCAACAAACACTATAGACCAAATAGACCTGACAGACATACACAAAATACTCCACCAAACTGCAAAAGAATACAAATACATTTTAAGTGCATAAATGATTCTCTAGAATAAATCACATGTTAGGTGACAAAACAGATTTTAACATATTTAAGAGGACGGAAATAATACCAAGTGTCATTTCCAAACACATGGAATAAAATTAGAAAGCAATAGAAGAAAAACTGAAAAAAATGTAAATATGTGTAAATTAATATACTCTTAAGTCACAAATGGGTCAAAGAAAAAAACAAAAAGGAAACTAGAAAATATCTTTAGACAGATGAAAATGAAAACAAAACATAATAAAACTTATGGGATGCAGCAAAACCAATGGTAATTGGAAATTTTATAATGATAAAAGCCTAGAGAAGCAAGAAATATTTCTAATAGTCTAAATTTACACCTCAATGAACTATAAAAACAAGAACGAAGTAGGCTCATTGTTAGGAGAAAGAAAGAAATAATAAATATTGAAGCATAGAAGAGACGGGGAAGCAGGGGATTCATCTGATCGAAGGGCCCTGAACCAAGGAGCGGCGGAGTTTGAGAAGCCAGCAGCTCGGGGTTCGGTGGCAGTGGTCCCATCGGCCGAAGTTGGGGGGGTCCTGGTCTTTGGCTTCTCCACTCGGTCCTGTTTCAACAGCGAACATGTCACGGCCTGTCAGAAACAGGAAGGTTGTTGATTATTCACAGTTTCAAGAATCTGATGATGCAGATGAAGATTATGGAAGAGATTCTGGCCCTCCTGCTAAGAAAATTCGATCATCTCCCCGAGAAGCTAAAAATAAGAGGCGATCTGGAAAGAATTCACAGGAAGATAGTGAGGACTCAGAAGAAAAAGATGTGAAGACCAAGAAGGATGATTCTCACTCAGCAGAGGACAGTGAAGATGAAAAAGATCATAAAAATGTGCGCCAGCAACGGCAAGCAGCATCCAAAGCAGCTTCTAAACAGAGAGAGATGCTCATGGAGGATGTGAGCAGTGAGGAAGAACAAGAAGAAGAGGATGAGGCACCATTCCAGGAGAAAGATTCCGGCAGCGATGAAGATTTCCTAATGGAAGACGATGATGATAGTGACTATGGCAGTTCAAAAAAAGAAAAACAAAAAGATGGTGAAGAACTCAAAACCTGAGAGAAAAGAAAAGAAAATGCCCAAACCCAGGCTAAAGGCTACAGTGACACCAAGTCCAGTGAAAGACAAAGGGAAAGTGGGTCGCCCCACAGCTTCAAAGGCATCAAAGGAAAAGACTCCTTCTCCCAAAGAAGATGACGAGGAACCAGAAAGCCCTCCAGAAAAGAAAACATCTGCAAGCCCCCCACCTGAGAAGTCTGGGGATGAAGGGTCTGAAGATGAAGCCCAGTCTGGGGAGGATTAAAAGTGATGATGGTTTGGGGAGAGATTTTATTAAAAAAAGGAAAAAGAAAAAGAAAAAAGTGGGAGGAAAAAAAGAACCTACTTAAGATAGAACATGGTTTTGGCTATGGCTTGACTCATGGGCTTTAAGTGCTTTTTTCCAGTTGTTAAAAGTAACATTTTTTTCTCTCGTTAAAAGTAACATTTTTTTCTCTCGCTCGCTTTCTCTCTCTCTCTCTCTCTCTCTCTCTCTCTCTCTCTCTCTCTCTCTCTCTTTTAAGAAAACCATTGTATGTTTAAGTGTTTAAGTTGCCTTTCTGTCTATTGGTCTCTTTGCCACCACCACCCCTTTCCCAATGAAAGCCGTGTCAAATTAATCACTGGATTGACCGCTTCATCTTTTTATTTTTAATGGAAGGTATACCACAGTTGTAAAGCAATAAGATTTGAGATGAACACTATAGAAACTGCTTTTTGCTAAATGATAGCAAGTTGAATAGGAATCCAAAACGTAGAAATGTTTTAGTTGAAGATGATTGCTTCTTTCTCTACCTGGACTTTTTAAAAATCAATTGTCATCTAATATGAATTTATATGTCTATATACACAAGTATAAATGTCTAAAAAATGTCATGACTTAAACTTCCACTGATGAGGCAGGTAGGAGATAAAAGAATTCTGAATTGTTACTAAAAGTACTCATATTTTTTATCTTGAGGGAGGGTGGGAATGGGGTTACCTGACCTTGTTTGAGTATTTTTTTTTTTTTATTTCATCACTTGTTATCTCAAAGAGACTTGAGCAGTGATCCTTTCATCCTGCAACAGTCTTTAAGGAGCTTAAAAAAAAAGAAGAGCCAGGGGCTGCCAAAACTGAAATCACTCTCGATTTCATATTTCTTTCTCTAATGTTCATGTTTAAATATAAATATATAATATATATATATATAATAATA